CAGCAATGGAGGCCAATGTGATGAGAAAGCTGGGTAAGGCCTTGAGTGAGATGGTGGCATAGTGATTAGGAAACTAGGAAAGGTTAAGAGATGGACGTGGTGTGGTTGCTTTAGATTATTTTCTCCCTTTCTTTTCTTGTTTTTCTTCTTTCTCTGAACACTAACCATTTTATAGTCAAAACCCCATTGTTGATGTCTAGTTAGACAAGCAACTCTGTACTCTATTTATTCTCAAAAAAGAATTTGGTTTACATTCCCATACTTGAAAACCTTTAACAATATATCTTCCCAGATTATATTAAGCAATGGATTTAACCAGCAATTAAAATAACCTTAATTTAAATTTAAACCTTCACAACAATAGAATTAATTATTAAAAATATTACATAAGTTCGCAGGAAAAATGAAATTCAAGCCTCAGATCCCAAGCAACAGTTACTGAAAATGGAACAAGTGTATAGTGTATACTTCATTTCCTTTTTTATTTCTCCAGACACTTTCATTTCAGATTTCAAAGTCCAGTTTTTTTTTTTTGAAATTTCAGAACACCGTATCATATGATTCCTCCGAAATTCACCAAACCGACCCTAAGAAACCAAGTAGGCTGGCTCGAAAAGCCAATATTTTATATGCACATCTTGCAAATCTTTAAAATTAGAAATAGGATTTAAAAGAACTTTTGCAAGTTTAGTTCACCTAGAAATGATGTGAAAAATAAAGAGACAAAACATGAACTTAATACGCAAAATACTGTTGAACATAGATTACCTAAAAATAAGTTAAGTAAAAAGATTGCAATCTTGATCAAGATTCTCTCTAAAAAGATGCACATACTTTTCTTTAAACATGGTCAGGTATGAGGAGTCCCAAAATTTCTTTTCTTTCTTCTAAAAAAATCTTTTTTTTCCAAAAGCTGCAAATCTCTCTCTTTTTTCGTACTCAGAAACTGCACTTTTTTTTTCAGAAACACCCAAAATGTAGCTGTGCAGGCCTATAAGCAAAGTTTAAAATGCAGGAGTGTTTGCTTTAGGGTCTGAAAATCAGATTTATAACTCCTAATATGTTCTTACAAACTACACCCTTCCTTATCACTTAGAATAAAATCAAATGCAGCTTGTTTAAAAACAAATCAGTGTCCTTTTTGTTTCTTTTTCAGATTAAAGTGCAGTTTTTTTTATCCAAGACCCAAGGGTTTCATAGATCTAAGTGCTAAGAAGCATTTTCACACCCCCACACTTAGTCTATGCACTGTCCTCAAGGCAAGTTATGATGATTGAGTTAATGAAAGCTTAAAGAAAAATGATCCTAAACTAATGCAAAGGTCATGCAAAGAAAATAAAAGAAAAAAACTAAATATAAAAGAGAACAGAGATGTGATTAAAATGCCAAATTTCTTTTTGGTTTTGTGCTAGCTGCCCTGTTTAGTAGTCCTGGCTAGACTTTACTGCCTTATTTCATAGCTCCTCGAGGAAACTGTCCTCGACCTTAGTAACCTGTTCACCTTGGTGATACACCTTCAATCTATGTCCATTAACTTTAAAAATCTTATTAGTAGTGAAACCTCTAATTACCATAGCCCCATGAGAAAAAGTTTCTAACACTTCAAAGGGTCCAAGCCATCTTGACCTTAACTTTCCAAGAAACAAATGTAATTTAGAGTTATATAACATCACCTTATCACCTATGTCAAAGTGTTTCCTAGTGAGTTTGGCATCATGAAAGGCCTTAGCTTTACCCTTATAAATTACTGAGTTGTCATAAGCTTCAAGTCTTATTTCTTCTGTTATATCTCAGCTCCGAGTGTAACGGTATTAAGCTCGGATTTAAGGAACAAGCTCCTTCTTTTGCTGGATGGGTTAATAGTCGATTATCAGTATGGTGATAATCGATTATATAGGACTGCAGGAGTTTCCCTTGATGTATGATAATCGATTGTCCAAGTAGGATAATCGATTGTCAAGTGATTCAGTTTCTCAGGAGGAGCTTCAGAAGTTTATGAGAAATAAACAATCGATTTACAAGAAGTGATAATCGATTATGGAAGGCTGCAGATTTTCTGGGAATGAGTGATAGTCGATTATCTTAAATGGATAATCGATTATTACTACCTGCAGATGTTTCTAATGGAACTGATAATCGATTGTGGGGAGTGATAATCGATTGTTTGGCAGTGATTCTGGACAGGAATAAAGGCGTTTTTACGGGGAATGGGTTGGAAATATATGGGGCTGATGGGGAGTTCTTTTGGGTATTTTTAATGGAAGAAAAGAGTAATATTAAGAGGAGAAATGGGGAGGTATGAAATGGAAGAAAATCAGGGATGGATAAACCAAGTTGGTGTTTAAGAGATAT